TATATATAATTGAATGTATATCATATATTAAGTTAATTTGCATAGAAATTTTATTACATTACATTTAATTTACATTTCTCTCAACGTTTAATAAAAAGTTATTGCAGTTACATTCGTTGTCTCAAAAAAAATTTCATCTCGAGTGCTTCTCATAATGAAGGAAAGAAGATTAAAAGAAATATTTAAATAATATGAAAATTCTGCTTATACAGAAATGAAAATGTTTTATTTCTATTTTTTAGGTACATGATTAGGTTTAGATTCATGAGCTCATGCTTTTTCATCCATTTTACATCTACACCCTTTGGAAAATTTACCATAGAGTTGTTGCTGTAGTTCATTTACGTCGTAATCGAGCTGTACAATGAGCTATTGGCGACGGTCATGGAAACATCCCTGAGGGTGATCCGAAGACAAGCCATTACAATTTTGATCCTCTGCAGAGTGCACCCCCACTTCGGTAGCCCGACGACCTGCACGCGAAATTATGCACTTTACGGTAGAACAGTTTAACGAGGATCCATACCGTACACCCTCGGTCCCTATGCAGACTAATCCAACCAGTGATGCTTGACTTCGGTGATCTGCTGGGAACCGCGTCTTAACGATCAGTTCACTGCGGGACTTTTACCATAGAGACACCTATGGTTATCTATGGCAACCTACGGTCACCATAGAAATTTGTATGGCAAGATACCATACACCTATGGTAACCGTAGAGATCTGTATGGCATTTATATGGCATGACACTATAGGCCTATGGCAACCATAGAAATTAGTATGGCAGGAATATTATTGATTTCGATTGGCTGTTCAATGTCTATCCAGTCAATAGATTCTATGTCTGATCAGTCGATGGTTGTTGTCAAAGAATAGACAACAGCCATTTTGCAAATGGGTAACCAGTGAAATTTTTTCTTTTATTGAGCTTGTTTTAAAGGTTCTTATTTGTCTTGTTTCCCACTTCTTCGGTTATACTTAGTTGTAATGTTGTCATTTGCCAGAAAGAAACACAGTATCATATAACTTTTACTGTCTTAGAATAATTTAGACTTATGATAGTTATTATAATTTAAAAATAATCCATTAAGTTTATCAACTAAAATTTAGTTTATTCAGTTTATTAAATAAACTGAAAGCTTTTCATATAGCAGGGCCCGAGCTAAGGATTTCGAATTATTAACCATTAAATTACCCAAATATTAAAAGTATTCATCAATTTTCAAAAGTCTTCTCCAAATGCAAATCTTAAAAAAATTTTTATGATTAATTTTTTCCCATAGAAAACTATTTGACTGTAGTTTGTTTCAGGCTTATATAATTTGGACCCAGTTCGATTTACTGAAAATTACTGTAATCGAATAAAAAACAATGATATGTTTGGAAAAATTCATTTTGCCGTGATTTTGATGATCGGGTTAAATGTATATATACATTTCTTTCCAGTGGAATCATTCACCAATACTTACGCCAAAACACAATTTCATTCGCCGAATTTACGATTTAAACGCGTTTGGCAAGGTGGTGAGAGTTGTTATAGGTATACTTACAACAAAACTATCCACTATTAAAATGATTTCTATTAAAATAATGTGTTTGAAGAAAAAATTACTTGGGTAAAAAATTATTTAAAAAAAAAAACATCTGTAGACAGATAATAAATTGTATTATCTTATTTTGGTATTAAATTAATTAGAAACAAAGTTAAATTTAAGAAAATGTGATCGCCTAATTAGGATCACTGGTTACTCATTGGTCAAATGCTTTTTCTATCTGCATTGACTCCGTTAAACAACACAACATTTCAATATCATGGGTTGCAAAAACTGTCTCCATTGATGTTTGTCGTCGGATTGGTTTCCAAATCCTATCCTGGCTATATACGTGTTTTAAGACGTCACAAAATACTTCTCCTTCTTTATTATTCAAATTTATATTAAAATCACCGTCAAGACAGTCATTATTTTCATTATGTAAATACATTAAAAATGCCTGTTAGTGAAAATAAAAACAGCACATGTCACCATAGCAACGCATGCAAAGAGGGCGCATGCGCACTGTTTACTATTACTTTTGAACACAGTTGAAACCAAGACCCATCTTGTCAATAGGTAATATTTTTTCTCTTCAAAACTCATTGTATATCTTTAATATCACTTTTATTTATGACAAGAAATAGCTGAATGAAGAACAATAGTTCAAGCTGACTCCATGGCTACGAAACATTTAGAATAAATGAGATTCTGCGCGTTTAAAAATGTATAGCTAACACAGTTGTTATATTGATTTCAACTGATTAATTATAATTGTATTCTTGGTGAATAAGGATTACATTGATGCAGCGTGGAAATCCGCCGAGAGAGGGTGGAGTTATCAGAATTAGAACGTAGAATGGCTAGAAGCGGAACTGCGTCAACGTTAGTTTAAGTAAGTACTGAGCACTCTATTTTTGCCCGAATATGAACAAGTATTTTTTTTATTTCATATAAGAAACAAAAGGAAAATAGCCTATGTAACATTATATAGAGTGTAGTTAGGCTTTTTGAGCTGATTTCTGCCCACATAGCATAATGGTTTGGCTGATTTCTGCCAACATTATAGTGTTCTGTTTGGCTGATTTCCCCCAATATGCCATTGTTTTGTTCAGCTGATTTCGGCACAAGAACAAAAAACACACAGCAATAAATTTAAAAAAGCATTATAACAACATTCATTGAAATGATAGGTATAACCAAAACTATTATACTCTGCATGTATAGATTAAAATTTAAAAAACAGAGTAAAGAAAGAGTTGAAGCAATAAAACAGCTGGAAAAAAAAATACAAAAGCAAATAATTTTTTTCTCTGCAGAATTGGATTCTAAAGATACTTTTCTCGTTCATAGGAAAGGAAAGAAATGCTCCTGATTTTTCTGCTCTCATTTTCAAATAAAAAATATTCGCCAATGACTGCTATGAAGAGGTTCCATAGAATTGAGTCAACACGCTTTACATACCAGTTAATTGGAATAGTATTCTTGTAGTGGTAGACGCACTAAACACTATGAAAAAAAAAATTTAATCAATACAAATGATAGAAATCAAAATAATAAAAAGATCTTTATCAAAGAGAGTACAATAATTTTCTCAAGAGCTGTAATTGACCAACTGTTTATTAAATGGATATAAAGTCGTTTGTGACAGTCAATAGTAAGAGGATGTATTTCTAAAAGAAGAGGAAGCGTCGTACAGTCCTTGCGTTTCATCGGATAAAGTGAGTCCGGGAATCTGCGTGACTGAAGAAGAGCTGTAAAATGAACCGGGAGTCTGTGTCATGAAAGCAGGAGCGGTGGGTGGTTTTTCCGGTTGGGAATCTCCCATCCAATTAAAGGAAGAAGAAGCCTTTTTGCTGTTGAATTGGCTCACAAGATTCATTAAGCTGTTTAGATTGTTTGTAGACTTGTTGCTTTCGTCTTCTTGTTTTGGATTGCTTTGATATTTCTGAAATCACATTAGAAGAAAATGAAAAAAAAAGAGAAGTACCCACAGCTTTAATAAAAAAAACTACTATTGGATTTACATGGTGATAAGAAACAGGGCTTGTATGATTTGCATCACTTGATTCTTCTTTTTCATTCATAAAATTTTTTTTACAGCATTTAAAAAAAAATTTTTCACAATATAATATAGATTATATCGCAAAATTTTATAAGAATACAGTGAAATCTCTCGGAAGAGACCACCCTCTGTCCCATAGCATTAATCCCTTCCTTCTCGCTCCCATGAAAATGATGGGATGAGGTTTCGCCCCCCTATTTCTCGCTCCCGTGACATTTGCGAGATGGAGTGTTCAGTAGTAAAGTGGCAATAAGAATAAAACTAATTCATTTCTTTTGCCCAGAAAACCTTTTATTTCTCATTTTACACACCAGATGGCAGTACCAGGATATTTTTAAGATAATTGTAGATAGTTTATTTTAAACTCAGAACTAGGAAGAAACTCGGTACTACTGTCCAGTTTGTGACATTGGCCTCTGTATCTCATGCTTAGAAATTTATCACACAAGAAAAAATTACTAATCTTTATTTATATTATATGTAAGTTTAATAAAATTCTTTTTTAATGTTTAAAACACATATTTTTTAAATTTTCCCTGCTTGCTCTAAGTCATGTCGGCTTTTCCTAAAAATTTATTTTTTTAAAATTTCAAGATAAAAACAAATCAAAACTTAAAAATGAATATATATATATTGCTCACACACATATTTTTATATAATTTTCAGGGATAAAAAATTAGGCACTTTTATGATCGTTTTCATGAAAATTAACCGATTGTTAAGGGGTTAACAGTAGTATATGAAAAAGTAACTTGGATCAAATGCATCAAAAAGGTGAAATTAAACGTAATTTATCAGTAGAGTAAAATCTCTCGGGAGAGATCACTCTCTGCGCCACAGTATTAACAGTAGTACACGAAAAAGTAACTTGGATCAAATGCATCAAAAAGAGGTTCATTAAATGAACATTTCGAGAATCATGTTTTGATAAACTAATGTGAGGAGGGTTGTTATCGTCAATCTGCTACATTTCAGATTTTCAAATTCATGACTAATTCCTAGAATTTTTAATGACTTAACGAAGTTACTATTTTCTCCGACAATAACACAGCAATAAATTTAAAAAAGCATTATAATGACATTCATTGAAATGATAGGTATAACCAAAACTGTTATACTCTGCATCTTCATATTTAAAGATTTTAAATTTAAAAAACAGAATAATATCGTATTAAAAGTAGCAATAATTAAAGAAATATTCATAAGTATGCACAGTTATTACTATTTTATAAAATAGTGAGAACTGTGGAAAAATTTATTTGGAAAAAAAACAATAGAATAAATGTGTCAAATAGTAAATGTTCAGGTTTGTGATTTGAATTTTCTGTATCATAATATTATCAAGATTTTCAAAAATCAAGTAGAAATGAACAGCAATAACTGTAAAAATAAAAAAAAACTGGTCAAAACATCACACGAATTTTGCACAAATCAAGTCTGTCAAAAAGTAATTACTCAAACGAGCGATTCAAATTTTGCTTGTAATATTGGAATTGCGAAAACCATAAGAAAATCAGTTTAATTAACTGCAAAAGAAATAAAATCAAAACACGGATTGGGATGATATCAAGGGGGTTGAAAAGTAATTTTTTAAATGCACAAATTTAAAATTTTCATGGCGTTATATCACATTAAATATTAATATGATCTACTTGTAGCCAAATAAATAAAAAGGGCAAATATATCACAGCAATTTAAAAAAATTTAATAAACTACTTGATACCAATACTTGATCCATGAGTTCCACTCGTTTTCTGGATTGGGTTCGAGATTACAAGGCTACGGAGTTGAACACTAGTAGTCGTTAACCCAAAAATTGGCTCGACCGTTCAACAGCGGTTATAAAAAAAGCGAAGAAAATAAATTATTGATGCAGGGAAATCGGTGAGTTAGTGGAAGAATCACATGCCTACTCTTGTAATGTATTGATTAACAGTCATGAAAAGTTAAAAGAAAAATTAACCAAATACTTATATATTGCACAAAATTTTTGAAGGAATTATATAGACTGAAAAAGAAACGCAACCAACAGCATTTGGTATAGAGGGGAGAAATTATTTTTATATATAATATATAAATGAGTGAGATGCCAAGTCTAGTTCTAATACTTTAAAATAAAATGTACAAGAATTTTTATACATAGGTGTGATTTCTTGAAACTTCTGGACCTTGGAATTCTGGATTGGGGCTAGTGAAATCATCTCTGTGGAAGGGAGGGATGTTCTTTTGTATTTAAATCAAGATAAAATAGATAGTTTCAGTAGGATTACAAGCCCAGCATTGCTTTTATCTAAAAATCATGACTTTCCAGATTTGTAGATGTTCCTAACTTAAAGCAAGGGTTCCTAAACTGATTTGATGTTCCAAACTGGTGTTGGACTGGGTACATGGGTTTTATTGTTCTTAACTGCCTTAAAGTGTTCAAAACCTTGAACTTTGGTAAAAAGATAAAAATTCTATATGTGTAACCATTGTACACATAATTAATTACATACTTTAATAAATATGTGATACCTTTTATACAATTAGCTCTAACACATCATAGGAAAATAATATAATAGGAAAAGATTTATAACTTTTAAAGCTCTACAATTGATCAACAAAGGTGAATACATTATCCTTTAAATATGAATAAATAGGCTTTTAATACTGATAAATTATGTTTCTGCATAAGGATAAAATAAGGCGATATTAAAAACAATAATTAACTTTTTTAATAAAACCAAAACGTGTCTTAATTTTGTTTCTTGTTAAAAAATTAACCTTTTATTTTTCACACTATTTTTTTTAAAATTGTGACATAATTAGAAAAAAAAAAAGGATTTTGGACAGGACAGTTTAAACCGTGGATTAATCCATTCTGTCATAAACCTTGCCAATTCTGTCTCCTAGTAGGCCCAGTTACTATGTCATAAAAGAACATCGTTTCCAATGCAACTTTTTTTAAAATAAAAAACAAGTAGCTTGGAAGTTTAATATACATTAGGTAATTAATGTATTCATACATTTTCATTAATGAGTCACACTTGGTGTCATCACAAAACTATTACATTAATTTGATTTTAAAATGAATAAAGAATGATAGTAATAATATTAAACTTTTGCTTTACCAAATTTTTTACCTATAAAATTATTGAACATTAAGCTTTTCTGGGATATCTAAGTTGGATGTTTTTCTTAAAGGAAATACTTACACCGAGAAGATCGGGTGAAAGTTTTTGTAATTTTCTATTCATCACTATTGAGATCATGTGATTTCCAATCTTTTGTAACATAGAAAGCTCATCTTCTGTAGGATCCATTTTTTCCTGTAAAAAGATACAGTCAGAGTGCTTAAGTCTAATGAAACTAATTTACAAATTCAGAAAATATACAAAATAAGTAAGTAACATTTAAAATAATAAATCAAAACAGAAAAGCGCTTAAAGCAGCTAGATCCAAATTTGTTTCATTATTTTAATACATAAAGTCAAAAAAACAATTATAGCTGAAAACAACAAAAATTATAAAAAATTTTAAGATATGTGTGTTGGCAGAACAACACTTCACCAGGGCCTGCTAACAAGCCTTTCTGTTGTCAGAGATGAAACCAAAAACTGACAGTACCCCTCGAGGCCCCATAATGGAAAATCAAACAAGAAAAGCAATTAGAAAAATTGAAATGTATATACAATGAAAAATAAATAACAAACAATCGCAATGAAAAATAAATAACAATTATGTCGCAACTTAAGACAGTAAGTCTTAATAATGACTTAAAAGTACACAAAATAAGACATAATAAAGAAACGCCCACAAATAAGAAAAAGGTAAAGTTACAGTTATAATTGTTAAATCATTAAGAAAGCTTCAGAAATAAATCAAGCGCTGACCTCTTTTTTGAAAATCTTGAAAAAATAAACAGAAAAACATTCAATGAGTACAAATTTTAAAAAGGTGTGTCCCCTGATGACGTGCAGCCTTGCTAACACACATACCTTAAAAAAAAAATTTATAATCTTTGTTTTCTGCTAGAATTGTTTTTCTGACTTCATAAATTGCATAATATAAAGATCATTCGTGGATCTTATATAACACGGTTGCCACTCTTTTAACAAAGCAAAAATTAAAGACTTTAAAAAAAAAAATAAGGACTTTTTTGAAAAATTAAGGACCTTAAAAAATAGTACAATTGTTTATCATTAAATATACATTTACCACCAGTGACAGTGCCATTTATTTACCTTTTTTTTTAAAAAAAAATCAATAAATAAAAATAATTTAAAGAAACCCATTTTATTATAATGTAAATTCTGATATAATTGTATTAATTAACAGAGCTTGCCAAAGTAGGACCAGGCAATTTTTGAAAACACGGGTCAGGTTTTTTAAAAATATTTTCAGATTGTTAAGGCCCAAAGACATTTATGAAGCTAATCCATATTCCATTTTTAATCACTTTATTGAAATTGCATTGTATAGTTAAATGCAGAAATTAAGATTTGCAATTTTTTTCATACATTTAAAATAATTTTATACTTTTTCAAATATTTAAAATAGAAAGAAGAGTAAATAAAGAAATTTGGGAAAAACATTGAAAAAATTATCGCAAAGTTTTATATTTCACTACAAGACCTGCATCACATATTCAGTTGAGGGCCAACCTCGCTAAATATTCAGATACGCCAAAAAATTCTTTCTTTTCTATTAATAAAATATTTCATTTATAAGAGTATACATTAAAAGAATTAATACTAAAAGGTTATTTTAGAGTTATGCATGAGAGTATTTTTCTTTACTATGTCATGGTAAATTAAGTCCTATTTTAAGTAAAAACAGGCCATACTAATATCTAAGCATCTTAAATCATTCCACTTTTTTTTTCATTAGGCTTCACTTAATATTTTTTTAAATTTATTGCAATAAATATTTTTATGAAAAATTTTTATACAATAAAAATACAATTATGTTTGAGAAGATTTATAATTTTCAAATCAATATGTTTTTTATTAGTTCTCAGTAAAAAATGTTAATAAAAAGGTCGAAAATGATTTTTCAAAGGTATCAACACATTCTTATGGCCAGAAAATTGATAAGGTTCCTTAATTAACAAATACTGATAAAGTATTTATTTTTTCATCATTTATAAATATTTACTTATAATATTTCATTATCATTCTCCTCATATTATTCTCTACTATTATTATGATTTGATATTTTATTATGATTGTGAATTAACAGTTTAAAACTGAAAGTGGCATTCTTTTATTATAAAGTAATGCTGTATCACCTTATTAGGTAACATTTTGTAAAAAAATATTGAAAAATTTATTGAAAACGGTATGTAAAATAATGGTTTGATATAATTATTAAACAGCAAATGTGTTAGATTTACTTAACTTTACATAATATTGCAACACAATCTGGCAAAAAACGTGAACTAATTTTAAAGCAACTAGAAGTTAAATAGAAATTTTAAAAAAAACGTATATTAAGTTGCAATGTTAAATTAATAAAATGATTATTAAAATCTAAGTTTGAATTTTATTCTAAGAGACATTAATAACAAAAAGTTTGGGACCTTTTAATTGAGTAGACTTAAATTTTTATGTAACAATCTGCTTATCCTTTAGAAATAAAAATAATAGTGTAAAAATTGACATTGCATCAAAACAAGTTATAAATAGTTACCAAACATTTAACTTTCTTGTTAGAAGCAAATCTTATTTGGTACTCAAGAAAAAAAGTTTAAAATATTTTTGAAAAAACTTGGTGTTTTATCATGTTATTGCTTTCTATAGATTTACAGTGACTTATTACTCACTGAAAATATTAAACAAATTTATTTAATTCTTCAAGATTTTTGGAAATAGTTCTCGTTATGGATTCTAGTTTAATTTTTTTTTCTTCTGATACTTCTATTCTTAGGGTTTTACTTCATTCCTATTAGCAGATCCCTTTCTGTCCCCCTATAAAGCTCTACCCTATGATGCATGGTCAAATTCTAAGTGATAAAAGAACGACTTTTTGTTTTAAAAAACTGAACGTGAAAATTGTTCCTATCAACAATAGTGATACTGAAAAATTAAGGACTTTCATAAACCTTGCACCAAAATAAAAATTAAGCAGTTTTTAAGGACTGTGGGAACATAAAGTAATTTTAGTAAATCATCTATATCATATTAAATAATAAAAAATGAAGCTTATTTATTTCAATTATTATTATTTCATTAAAATGAATCTTAAAAATAAAACAATAAGTATTAGTAAAACAAAATTGTAAATCATAACTACATAGCATTATAAATTCTCAGACAATATGCAATAAAAAATTGCACTACAACAGAAGAACACATTCTGCATAAGTTAAAGTAAAACATAAATGGAGGAGAAAACGAAAATTTGGAAGATAAAAATGATTACTGATTCAATAAAGATGATAACTTCTGTACACATTGTTCATCTACTAATATGCACTTAACAAAATCAATCCATTCAGAAAGAGATCTAGAGCATTAAAGGAGCTTTTTTTTAAAAAAAAAACAACAAACAATTAAAGAATTATTTATAAAATTGAGGAAAAAAATATGTAGACAGAAAAATTAAGCTTACAATCCTGTTTCAACCCACTTATTACAATAAAAGGTGCAGTTAAACATTGTTTGAATAGTGATCTTCTGACAAGTTAGGACATGCTATTATTATTATTTTGTATCTGATTTAAGTCAATGGCGTTTGAAAAAAATTGCAGAAACGAACATGAAATAAAGGACTCCTGGATCCATACTGGGGTCTGCCTAGGGTAAATTTATTACCCTTTAGCAGTACCTTCACAAAATAAACTTTCAGAAAAACGGTAGTTTCACAGAATACTTTTAAAAAAGGAAGTTCTCATGCAAACCCCAATCTCGTTGCAATCTATGGAAAAGAAGAGCTTTTCTGTCAGCTGTCTTTTACGAAAAGGTAGATCGTGTTTGGTCAGATAGCGTAATGTGGTCAGCCAAACCGGTCATTTACAACATATCAATATTTTAAAATGAAACGATGAGGCTCTTCCTCTATAAACTTTACAGGAAGTTGAAATTCGAACATTATATTAAATACTATTGTAAATTTATTCTAATAGACCTTTATTTTTTTTATGAACCATTCTTTTCGCTGTGAAACCTTTTCTGTACGACCCAGTCAAAATGTTCTCATAATTAAAATAACTTTCAGTACTAGTACTGTAAATGCATGTTTTTACTAAATTCAAGTTGAAATTTAACTATGGACAACGATTTTTATGGATTTTGAAGTTTGGATGCAAATTTTAACCCAAAATTTTACAATAGCAAAATTGTTTTCGAATGTATGGGGAAAAAAATATAGAAATTTACCAGTCAAAAATGATTTGTAGTGACAATTTTTGAAAATATTTTCTTACTTTACCATATTTTTGTGTTGATTTCTTAATATATTTTGTAATTTTCACAAATTACGTCTAAATAATCACAAAATAGGAATTTCTTAAAAAAACCTGGACAGACCCCTGCCGTAGTGCAATGACAACACAAACAAGTAATATAAAAAAACAAATTTTTAAAGTCAAGTTTTAGTTACTTTTTCAATAATTAAAAAATTTTTGTCAAATTTAAAACTAAAATTAAGCAATTAAATTTAATGAATGAATTAATATTTGAAAAAGCTGTATCAACATCAAGTGTCATCATCCACTACAAGTTTAAAGAAATGTATTTGAACTTGAGTGGATGACTAAAAAGTATTTTATGAACGATTGAAAATTTGAACAAGATATATAGAGAGTGTGAACTAATAAGTAGGAATTGAATAAATAAAAAAATAACCAGATAAATGAGCATTAAGTCAATGACTTTTTTCAGAATCAAATTTTTGAAAAAGAAACATTTTCTTTAATTACAAATTATTTATATTTTGCAATGCTGACACTGGATTAATTTTTAATAAATTTTAATTTGCAAAGTTTCTTTTGTGCTCTTTCCTTAATATTTTTAATCTCAGTGACCTTTAACGTTAGATTGATTTTTGGTTACAATTCTTCAATTTAACCATTACTGAATACGGATTTCTTAACCACGGCTGATTGTGAATCCCATGGGGGAAGAGACTGTTGAACATGTAAGATGAATAGAAGAAGTCTTATCTATACTAGTTAAGACTTTACTTTTACACATTTTGCTCCTCAAATTTAGTCGCACTCTTACATCTATTCATTCCTGAGAAATGTGTGGTAACCATAGCTGCCAACATGGATAGGGAAAATATCCAGTACATTTTATGCAATAACATAAATTTCATGATAACTGTTGCATGATGTACTAAATATTCTACACATAGGGAATTTTAGGGATTTTAATAGTCATCAAAATAGAAAAACTGTAATATTTTCCTGTACATTAAACATACATAGCTGCCAACCTTAGGAATCAAAAATTAAGAACACTATATGCGACAAAATTATACGCACCCATTACGAGAGTAAAATAAAAATATAACTATTAAATAATAACATTAACAGACATATATTTAAATAATTTATGTAAATTAGTAAAACAAAACTATAAACACTATCTTTTGTGCTAAATTTATACTATTAATATTTTATAATTAGGAATGCCGGTATAATAGTTTAAAAACAATCATTACCTATTAATATATAATTTTCCTTCTCCACATTATAAAACACAGTTAAATAATACTCTACATCATAAACAAATATTTCTGATGCAAGTGTTTAAATACAATATTTTTTTTAAAAAATAATAGTTGTTTAAGATTCAATTTAGTGAAATGATCAGCTATTGCAATAGTATTTTCCAATAAAAAGCTCCTAAAAATTACTTCTGAACAATATTCACAGGAAGCGTGTTTGCGGGGATCAGAACAAGGGATTGATTTAAAAGTAAAAATACTGCAATTTTAAAAAAATTCAGATTTTTTATTAAAAAAATCCGATTCTCAGATTTGATTTAAAAATTAGGAACAAATTCGAAAAATTCTGTTGAAATGTTATCTATTATGTTTATTCATAATTTTGAATATTAATAGGCAATTAATTCATCCAACATAGCTAAAAGTTTTTTTTTAATTAATTTATGAGTAAAACAAACTGAACATTTTAAAACAAAACAAGTTTTGAACAGATTTCTATAAATGAGGTTATGTATTATTAACACTTGTTGAAATATTCAAGCAAGCAAGCAATAATCTGTTCAAAAATTCTATTTCAGTAGGGATTTTTTCAGGAAACTTACTCAATTTCAGGAAATTTTCTAAAATGTACAAAACCCAGGATTTTAACAATTTTAATTAAAACCAGTAGACCAGGAGAAAGTGGCAAAATCCAATGGTCTACCAGAAAATAAAGTAGAGTTGGCAGCTATGGGTAACCTTTTCATTTTTGTTCTATCTTTAAATTTCTTGAATGGAAACTCAATATTTGACATGGTTATAAAAATTGCAAGAAACTCGAATACATACTACTCTATGAAGAACAAGTTCGAGAAACATCATGGATGGCATAGTCTCAATGATTTTCAGTAATGACTGAAATAGATTGGAGTTGTTACTTTGAGTTGCTGCTCTCTCTTGCATTCTTCTTTGCTCAAGAACAACTCGCAAATCAGCATCAGATTCTCTTGTCTGCGAAACACTGATGGAAAGTAATTCAAATTTCGCAATCAAAATAAGTTTGTAGAAATGTATTTTCCAATATATATANTTGTTCTTGGTATTTTAATAAGTATTAAAATTATAGTGCGTTCAAAATATTTCTTGTCACCCTGCAATTTATCTAAGTATAGGTCAACATTGTTTGGCTGTATTTTTTTTATTCCAGGTAAGAGGAATTGCATAGGAGAAAGCTTTACAATGGCGCAGGTTTTCTTATTTTTGACAGCAATCATACAGAAATTCAAACTAACCGTCCCGAAAACTTCAGACATTGGCGTTCTAGAATTGATGAAGAATGGAAAAATGGAAATTTGTGCCAAACCCAGAAATTAAAGAAGAAAAAAAAGATGTATATATATACATATACCAAACACTGTTCAGACATGTGATTGCTGGAAGAAAAAATTATCTGAATTTTTTTTTTCGTATTATAGTTCGTATTTACTTTTTATACAAAGAAGATAAATGGCTACTCTCATTTTTATGCATACAGAAAAGAATATATATAAATAAAAAAATGTTACATATTCATTTTTTACACTTGTAAATCGTCATCGTATAAAAAAATAACAAACTCTGAAATCCACGGCAATAATCGAAACAAGTTTAATAATAAAACTAATTGTATGGACAACGAAATCGCACGAATCGGATGCGTCAATAAAGGGTTCTTTAAATGTACGTTTCCAAGAGTGATAATAATACAATCAAAAATACCAATATACTAAAACAATTGCGAAAATTTGTAGTAATAAATGCAGAATAATTTATTGAAAAAATTATCTCGCCAAATACTAAATACTCAGGTACGTGAATTTATAACATCGAGATTTTAAAAAAATCAACAGCATTAACTGGAACGAAACACTGCGCACAGGATTTAGCACAAATCGACTCCGTCAAAAAGTAATTACTCAAATATGTGAGTCGAATTCCTCGTTTCTTAATAATATCGAATTAAAATGTGGGAATTAAAAAAATCACGTGAATTTATCAGAACTGAAAAAGTCGATTAAAAAAAGTGGTATCGTTGCGTGGCAAATAAATTCACGAATTAAATTTTGCGAGTTGTAATGATAATGTACAAACAATATAATGATTAAAAAAAACATTCGCAGCAATAAAAGATTGAAACACCTCCAGGGCGCGTAGCCAAATCTTTGAATCAAAAATAAGCACTTTTTAAAAACTTTTCGAGCACTTTACAAAAATTTTCAAGCACTCAAAAAATTCATATTCAATCAGCGATATCATTGAAAAGCAAAAACTTTTCATAAACAGTTTTAGCGCTAAAAAAAAAAGAAGAAAGAAACAGACGTAAATCGAAACAATCCACATCATCGAGTGAATTCAACTTGACCCTGAACTCAGAACAAAAGTACCCGTACCCCCTACGTCAAAAAAGTGCTAGAAGTAAAATAAAATAAACAATAATAAAATTAAAATTAAAAAAAAAAAACATTTCATAAGGATCTGATATTCTCCATCCGAATTGGAGCACTCGGGTTTCGGTTTCAAGTGCGTGCATGTGCAAGTCATAAAGTGGGTACGACATGAAGTCCGCGTGAATGATTACGTAGCAAACTCCCCATTTTTCATGAAATGCATGGGATCCACCAGATATCACTGAAGGGGAAAAAAAATATTCGGGATAAAAGCACTTTTTAAAAACGCCAGATGAAAAATGCACCTTTAAAAGCTTTTAAAAACGAAATCTCCAAAAAAGCACCTTTAAGTACTTTTTACAAACGCTACGCACCCTGCATGACTTACATACTAGTGAATTGGAATCATATTTTTGTAGTGGTAGATACACTACAGGCTTCATAGCAGGAAAAAAAATCAAGACAAAATAAAATTGTTAATTTAGGACATTTTTGGGAACAATATACAAATATCGAACTGCTTTCAAGCAAAATAAACTAAAAAATTAAAGTCAGACCTCTGACTTCTCTTTTATTCATACAAAGATTTTCACAGGTCATTATATAAGGAAATAATGATAATTATCATTCGTTTTTGCGTCACACTGAAAAAAATAAATATTTCAATTATGTACCGAAATTTCTCTTAGAAGAGCACACATTTACTATTTGTTTAAAAAAAAAAAAAAAAAACAGATCTGTGTTAGAAAAAAAGTTTATAGACTAAAAATTGAAGCAAATAAACAATCGTTGTTACAGATAAAAAGAAATATGTTCCCATGCAACAGTTCATTTCTCTTCCCAGTGCGAATTAGCGAAAACTTTAAAATGTGAATTTTAGATAGATGAAATCTGTGAAAATTTCATCGAATGATACGTTTTTGCTCAGCGAAATTCCGAAAGCCGACAGTCTTGAGAAACACGGAATTCTGCAATAATCAGAGAAACGTCATACGCCTTGCTCCTAATATTTAGACCAGGAAGGGTCGTATGAAAAATGCGGAATTCCGGGCAACCCCCGGAACACGGTCACCCCTGGGTTGTGAAAATCTGTTTCATATAAGTGATATTTTTTGTACCTTGGTTGTTGGGTTGTTTCATGATGGCTATAATCAAATCGAATGGGGGATCTTCTTTCCCTGGGAGATTCGCCGCCACCATAACAGCGACGATCTCTCACGTTGTCCGAAGAATACAAGTATCTTTCGTCGTAAGGGTCGTCTGAAAAGTGACCACCTCTCTGAAATTCTTGCTGTTTGTGATCAAGGTGCCTATAGTCCTCATCCCTATCACCCACATAATTAGTTCGCCTAAGGAAGAAAAAAGTAGACATTAATTATCAAGAATATTGTTTCTCGAAATTCAAATATTTTGATGCGGACCATTTTACAACAGTGGCATAGTTTTACTGTACGTTTGGAAGGGCTTATGCCTTCTGACACACACATACTTATATCTGCCAACTTGTACGGTCACTGATTTTACAAAGTGATAGTAAATGAACAAGTAATGTTCGAAATTTGTTTTTAATAATTAAACACTAATTAAACATTTATGAGCTAAGTAAGTTAACAAATAGATCATATTTACATAATTTTTAATTGTTGATCTGTCATAGTTAAAAATGTTTTTCTAAACTTTAAATTGAAAATTTAATAAGTCAAACTGCTATAATGTTGCTACTACTAAGAAGTTTTTTTCTCAATAGCCGTACAGGTTTGTATGTATATATATTCTGACATTAGGTGTTCAACAATATTTGTTTTCTTCCGTAATTCATTGTCAGTCTCTCAAACCACTGAAAGCTTTAAACTTTATTGCAAAGAATGAAAAATCGCATAAACTAAATACTTTTAAAATTACAAAATATACCTCCAAGCATTTCTTGAGAAATTTGAAAAAAATAATAATTATATAGATATATACACAGTAAAACCTCCATTCTAGGGACTGAAAACATTTTCTGTTTAGGAGAGTTGTCCACTTACGGGAAGGGTACCCTAATAATGAAGTTTAACACAGCTAATTGTTTTTAGAATATTTTCAAAGAAGTAGAAATAATTAAATAGTTTACAATATCTATCTACAAGGATATTTATTTAAACTTTAAGAAAGATAAAATAGAATATATAAAGAAGTTTGATATAAATACATAATTCTAGATGTAGCTACAGATAAATGAATATAATTTTCCTACTAGACATAGATACTCAAGTCAGACATATGATACCGAATAGGAGCTTTCAGTCCTTAGTCAGTTTCAATAATTAGGTTCAAATCCCCTTACAAAAACCTATGAATTGATAGGGAACATGATTAATACCTTCTTGAAAGTAAACCTCCCATGATTCACAGTCATTCACATGAGGACCTATGGAAGTTGATTATTCACAATTGATCAGCTATCAAGTGTCTGAATAAGTGTGCCATTTATATGAACACATCAAAGACTATATTTCTGTTCTCTTTTTTACTGTGTTAAATACAGTCTTCAAACTAATGAGAAAATTAAAGAAATTTTAAAAGGGGAAGAAGCATTGAGAGCATTGAAGATGTCATTTCAACTCGAGGGGTCTCATAACCTGTGTGGTCCAGATGAAAAGATCAAAATATGCTGCTGTCCGAATTATTTCAGGAGAGCGGTATCCTTTTCTCTTCTTTCTCTACAAGGATAAGGCAGGGTGAAAGGCGAAAGATTGATTCTTTAGTAGTGAAATAGCTTAACTATATTTTTAGTTATAGATAAGGCAAAAAATAAAACAGTTTTAAAAATGGCAAAAAGTTGTATTTTCCCCCTTGCAATTTAAAGCAGAGATTTTTTTTTTCAAATTTAGAAAAAGTAGTGTCTGGTTTGAAGAGACAGAAAATAATGTTTCAGGGCCAAAATGACTGTCCGCGTCTGGTTACGGAAGTGTCCGCTTTGCGGAGAATGTACATAATGGTTTATTCATAGAAGATTACCGGGGAATTAAAAATATGTCCGTATTGAGAGGCGTCCGTTTTGCAGGAGCGTCCATAACAGGAGGTTTCACTGTATATATATACTATAGGGCTCCGCCCCTTGATCACTGCTGCTCGCTAACCCCTGATAATTGCTACGCAATTACATTTTCGTTCGCTTTGCGAACAAACTTCGCGAATAACGAAAGTTGTCTTCCAGGAGATTAGCTGGCAATTTTTCTGCACCAACATCACATAGAGAGAATATGATAGGATTGTAAAATGTCAGAGGAACTTATTATCAACATTATAAACTTATATAAAGCAATTTCAATACAAACAATATTATAAACTTATATAAAGCGAGGAAGCAATATTATTTAACACATTACTATAGGGCATTAGCCGGAGATTAATCTCCGTATCTGAAGCACGCGTGGTAGAGCCTAACTCAAATCATTGTTGATCCTATAGGATGCCGAACGTTCCCTATATGTGTTTTATCTCTTCCCCCCCCCAGTAATTTAAATTTCAAACAAAAAACAATTAAAACCTGATGAAAAAAAACTTTAAAAAAATTACAAACAAATTAAAACATGTAATACAGTACGGAACCGATTATCCGGAACGATGAGGACCATCGCTACTCTGGATTACTGATTTTTCCAGTTATCTGAATCGCTACAAAAAGCCGTTTTTTTTATTGTTAAACCCAACTAAAAAAAACATTTTGGAAATAATCTTAAAAAGAAGAAAAAACGATGAAGTAATACACTAATGATTATTTCCAAAATTATGGTAAGGTAAACATCTTTCAAAAAAGAAAGAAAAATCCTAAAATCTTATGAGGAAAAAAAATTTTTTTTTTTTTTTTAAATGGCGGAAAAGTTATCGAATTTCGTTCCGGTTTTCTGATTTCCGGATAACGGGTTCTGTACTGTATTAATAAGTTGATTCTAAGTAATATTTCAAAAGCAAATACCATTGCAAGTAAGTACTCAATTAACTTCAATACTGTCAACTGACAAAATATTTTAGTTTCAATCAGAAGTATTCGTAAGTACACCAAGGAATTCGTTTCATTTAAATGTCTTGACCTTTAAATGTTTCTTCGCCGCGCATTCCGCCGCCGCGTTTTGATAGCACTATGACTATTTTCCAGTTAAATTTTGTGCAGCTAAATCATGTTCAGCTCTATGCCGCTGTTGATATCGCCTAAGATATTTACAGTGATCAATTTTTTATAAAAGATATAAGTATTTTAAAGTAAACTCTGTTCAATATATTTTGATAATTTGGAATGTAAATAGTTTTTTGAGAGAGTGTTGATTCGTGCTTCCAATAACTCTACCCGATTTATCAAAGCTATTAAAATATATTGGAATTCTAAAATAAATAACTGCGTTCTATCAAAACAAACATTTTATTATAAAACTTTAGAACAACTATCTTTTTGCATCGCCACTCAAAATTATTAATTAACACTGGATAATATTGCGTTAATGACACTCTTATCTAATCATAAACAATCGTTTGCATAAAGTTTAGTTCATAATAATCATACATAATCGTTTGCATAAATAATCGTTCGGTCTTTTTATAGCTTTACGTAATAAGTGTGTTTTTTTGTTTGTTTTTGGAATGGCGATGTTATAATTTTGTTGTTGAGTTAATAAATCTTCCTTTTTATAAACGTAATAGTAGAGTTTTCTTAATTATTTGATTCGAAGTCCTCTGAGTTTTATTTGAGGTCAGTTTGTATTTTGTATTTTTTGACAGCATTATTAAAAATTATTACCTTTTCACATATATGCGTTCTCTATTTTGATTGGCTGTTTTGTGCGTTACTAACCAGAAGTCTTCTGTGATTGGCTATGTGTTATCATTCCACTCTCTTCTTATATATAAAGATATATATATATGTATGGATTAAAGGTTTGAATGACGAAAAAAATGAATAACAAAAACTTTTTATGTTTACATCTTACTCACCTAACCGAATGGCTCATTAATCGAGTAGTGTATAATTTCAGGAGGGGCTTTGTCCCCCAAACCCTTCCAAAAACTATGCCACTGTCTTACAACAATAAAGAAGACTACAACAACCCCTCTTCCTCACAAATTAAGCAGGCCAGGGGAAAAAAATGATCAAGAAAAGTCTAGTCAGGACAATCTCAAAAAAGTAAAAACTTTGAAAAATAAAAAGTTGCAAACTTAGATTTCGAATCAGAGAGACATCAACCTTCCATTCAGAGTTTCTCAAGAGATCACTAATCAGGCATCTCTTTTAAAGAGAAGAATTCAAAGCAGGCTCTTTATATCTAACCATATAAGATGTCAAACTAGCTGTCAATATTCAAAAACACAATAACGGAATTCAAATTAGCACAATTTATATGTACAACTTTATTCTATTTCGATGTACAATATTAATAAAATTAGGAACGCGGATGGACAGAATGGCCCACCAGGATACCGGGAAGTTCCGCTACGTCCTTCAACCTGATTACTTTCTGTTGAAATAAATTAAAAAAAGAAAGTGATATTAATTTTGCATTGTATCAAATAAAAAAAAAATAAAAAAATTGATATAAATTTTACTTTGAATCTTAGCTTTTTAAGAAAAAAAATTATAAATAAAGAAATTTTATTTTATGGTTCAACATCACTTTTGTTTCCTCTGAACCTTCTCTAAGGTCCAGCCACAATGGGGGAGGAAAGAGATCACAGCGCTCCCAATAACAACCACCCCACTTGCTTAAAAATTTTATTTCAATGGGAAATAAAATGTTCCTTCTGTTCTTGGGGAAAAAAATCTCTATTTTATGGAACGCTTCCTCCAAGAAAGTGCTCCTTTCTGAGTCTTCTTCTTCTTTGTCAGCACCCCTTGTAGGCCTTGGCTGTCTAAGTAAGTTTTCAGAGTAAGCAATTTATTTTTCATGGCATGGCAAAGCACGTAAAAAAGTTATTCAAGTTTAAGATCCATAGCAGTATCGTATAAAAAAAATCATGATTCGCAAAACAAAGTGACTGCCGAAAAATAACTTGAAATTTACGATGAAATCATAACAAATAAATCATGTCAAAAAGATATTAATTAAATGAGCGATCCACAACTCACGACTTGGAACATCGCATTAAATGCAATTAAATCGTATTAAATGTATTTTAATAATCATGCAAAAATTGGTAGTTTCGACTGCCAAAAAAACTATCGAAAAGTCATATGAATTTATGATGAAATTGGTAAAAATAAAGCGGGTCTAAAAGGATTACAGGAATTTGCGCATTGTAATAAAAATATTGCTTTTTTTTCTTTTTAAGAAAAAAAAAACATGTGAAACTCTATAGCAATAACCACTAAAAAATTGGTCGAGAAACAACATAGATTAGCAAAAGAGTTTGTGCAAATTGAGCTCGTCAAAAAGAGATAACTCAAATGTCCGATTCAAAATTTCCGGCAACATTTTTTAATTTTTCAAATAAATAATAACTTTTTACGTGTTTTCAAAAGCTCCCATTGGCTGCATATCAACAGTTAGTGTGCTTTGCAGCAGGGTTTGTTGATTTAAATCAGCTTGATTTAAATCACGATTTAAAACAAATGATTTTTTTAAAAAGAATCATTGATTTAAATCAACTGATTTTTTTAATATATATATTGATTTAAAAAGTTTAAAAACAGTGTTCTAAATTATTTATACTTTTAATATTTTATTTTCTTAGTTTTAAAATTTTTAGCTTGTCTATTTTGATATAGGATTAAAAATGAATATTTTAATATAAAAATAAAGATTAAATATTTGTTTATATTTTGATGAATGACTACATTTATAAACACAATCTGTTACATTTATTTTGTCATTTTAAAAATCAAGAGAAAAAAAAAAGAAATAACAATTTCAAATTAAAATTATGGTTTGGTAATTGAAACTTTGTTTTAATAGTTAAAATATTCCTTAAATTCTCTATTTCATCTAGTCTTTAAATTTCCATCATGCATTTGTTTCAAAATGGTAGCTATGCATTCAAAGCTATGTATTATAATGAAATATTGCTTTAGGTAGTTAGAGCTTCTAAAATATTGCCATAATACAGATTTAATAAGAATTTAATTTTGATAAAACATTTATGAAGTTTTTTTTTTTACATCATAAATCAAAGTTTTTACAGTGTATTTAAATTTTAAAAAAATCCCATTTTTTGAATTTTTTTTTTTTTTTTAAATCAAGAACCCTGGCTTGCAGGCAGTAAGTTGGGGACCCCTATTTTAAACCATAACTTTCCCTGCATTAGAAATATTTCAACAAAGTCAGTAATTAACTCAGATTTAAAAATCAATTAAATAAATTATAATGCTCTTATACATACCTATCACCCCTTTTCACATTATTATCAATAATATCCTGATAAGGTTTTTTATAACTTTGACTTGAAGACACTAAAAAAGGAAGAGGAAAAAAATTAAAAATTTTCTTAGTTAAGTATCAACAAAACAGAAACTTTCAAAAATCTGTTATTTTTTTAAAATTCAAACAAATAATTGCTATTTCTTTTTTTAAATAAAAAATTTTAAAACATTCACTTCTTTTCAAAAGATTTGCTTTTTATATTACAATAAAATTTACTGGATGCATTTGGTAGTTTTTTTTTTTTTTTGATAGAAAAGGCTTTAGCTATAACTTAGGGTTGCACAACCTTTTGTGGTGAAGGGCCTATTGCACAGCAGGTAGATTAACGAAGGGCCGCACACATGATAGCGACAAATATGATAATTTTTATATAAACATTAATGTTCACATAAAAAATATTAAATCCCTTAATATTTTTATCAGAAAACTTAGTATATTTTCAGAAAATTATTTGATTTTAATTAAAACTAAAAAAAACATACTTTTCAAAAAAAAAACTTTTTCAATTTTTTACAATAATAATTTTTTTAATATATATACATAAATATTGGGGGGGGGATATAAATTCTAACCAAAATGAAGCTTACAGAATGAAAGTGCCTAAAACATACACATTTTAGAGTAATATAAATTTGAATTAAATATTTTAATTTAAGAAAATTTATAAAGTTTTAACAAAAACCAAATTAAAAGAATTTTTTTTTATTGCATTCAGAAGTTCCCGCGAACCTCATATCAACAGTCGGTGGGCCGCAGGTTGGGCACCCCTAGTATAACTCATAATTCTTAAAAATGTTTGATAAAGATACAGTATGACATGTAGATACAGAAAAGATACAATATGAGCATGTGTTTTTTAAATAATTTATTTCCACTTAATAATAATTTCCTTAATTGTTTTATTAAACAGATTGACTTCTTTTTCATTTTAATGAAGTGAAGATTTTATCTCATTTATGATTCTTCTCTTAGTTTAATTATGATTCGTATTTTCATTGACATTACAATTCTTTTTTTCAACATTTAAACAAAAACACTGGGTGGCTAGAAGGCTAATGGCTTAATTGCTAAGCACCTGGCATTTGCAAATAATATTTAAGATCATGTTAATAAATCCCAACTACAAAAAAAATAAGAGTTGTAAGGTTTTTTTTTGTTGTCAAATTTCATTATTTGTAAATCATGTATTTAAAATGATAGTTTATACTAACTTACTCAATATAAAATCTAATATAATTTTAATTCATAACTTGAAATAGAATTTATAATATTTTAAAAGTTACGGTAAAAGTGTAAGAAGAAAAAAAAACAATTTCATAAAAAATAAAATAATTAAAAAAATAATTAATTATGAGCTAAAGCTAATGAAATAATTATGAGCTAAAGCTTCAAAATACAAAACAGTTATTCAGCTACTCAGCATATTAAATATTTATAGTGGAATAAAATAAAAAAGATAAATCTAAGAAATAAAGAATTCTCAAATTTAGAAAAAGCAACTATCAAAATATAAAAATAGCACAAAATAGTTCCATTTCANAATTTCTTGTTGCATTATATATAGTTAAGATAAGATTTGGCCAAACAATAAAAGTACAAGAATCTTTTTCATTCCATGCAACATTAAATTATGACATTTGGAATAAGAACCAGAGTAGTAGTTTGAATATTAAAAGAAAAACATAACTTTCAATAAGAAATGAAAATTTTTTTTTAAAAAAAGTAACATAAACTTTCTTTTTAAACTTATCTTTCATTTCTAGCTTCGTTTTTATAAATGACAATTTATGAAAATTTGATGGGCAATTCTAGCAGCTTTTGGCAGTAATTTGATGATGTCTTCCTTTTCAATTTTGTATAATCTCACACAACAATCATGAAACCAATGATTTTTTTCCTACTTAAAAAAACTAGTATACTTCAATTATTTAGTTTCAAAAAACTTAAAAGAAGTTACAAGTCAGGAAGGAAAAAAAAAATTATCCCAGAAAGTATCAAAGAATTCAAGCATTTCACCAACTGTAAGTTTGATTTAATTTGTAGCGTATCCCACAACTAATATTCTAAATTAGGATTTTTCCCCCATAGATTTGTTGTCTGTTTATGGGGAAAAATCATTTTTAAATTGTTGATTGCACACCAAGTTAACAAGCAAGTACAATTCCAAGTACTTCCATTGTTACCTCTATATTCCTAATCTCTATATTCCTATAGAGGTAACAATTCCATTGTTACCTCTATACAGTCCCTAGAAAATTATTAGACACACTATAAGATTCTATGTAAAATCTTAATTATTAGGTGATACTGTACAGCTTTATTGTTTCTATGTGACTGAAACCGGTTTACACTTGTTTATATTCTTGTATCAATTGGTTAACATGCAATACGTTAAAAATAAATACAAACAGGAATTATATACAAAATCTCCCGAATAAAAGCCCATTGCATTTATGTTTAAATATAAAACTATTGCATATAAGCTTGTGTAAAACTTGTCATTATTGAAACACTACAGTGCTTCCAATAATTTTTCTCTAATTATTATAATATACTAATATAATACCTTACAATAGATATTCTATATTTAAATAATATATCATCTAATTTAACCAATTGATACACAAACAAGTGCAAACCGGTTTTAGTTGCACAAAAACAATAAAGCTGTATACAGGGTGCGTAGCCAAATCTTTGAATCAAAAATAAGCACTTTTTAAAAACTTTTCAAGAACTTTACAAAAATTTTTAAGCACTCAAAAAATTCATATTCAATCAATGATATTACTGAAAAAGAAAAACTTTTTATAAACAGTTTTAGCGTTAAAAAAAACCCAAAAAGAAACGAGCGTAAATCGAAACAATCAGTACTTTCCCACATCACCGAGTGAATTCAACTTGACCCTGAACTCAGAACAAAAGTACCCTTACCCCCTACGTCAAAAAAAGTGTTAGAAGTAAAATAAAATAAACAAGAGCAAAATTAAAATAAATTAAAAAGAAAAACATTTCATAAGGATTCTCTATCCGAATTGGAGCACTCGGGTTTCGGTTTAAAGTGTGCGCGCATGCACAAGACATAACGTGGGTACGATATGAGTCCGCATGAATGATTACGTAGCAAACTCCCCATTTTTCGTGAAATGCATAGGATCCACCAGATATCACTGAAGGCAGAAAAAAATTTCGGAAAAAAAGCACTTTTTAAAAACGCCAGCTGAAAAAAGCACCTTTAAAAGCTTTTAAAAACGAAATCCCCAAAAAAGCACCTTTAAGTACTTTTTACAAACGCTACGCACCCTGTGTATAGTATCCCTTGATAATTTATCCTTGATAATTGAGACGCACAATAAGATTTTACATAGAATCTTATTGCACATCTAATAATTTGGCTAGAGACTGTATATATACAAGGTCCGGCTATTAATTTCCAGGACTGACGTAACTGTAGGAGAAAGAAAAGCCGGAAGATGGCGCTAATGATTGCATATTGAAGGGTGTTTTCTAGCACATGTGCAGTGCAATCGGCGCCATTCTGAAGCGAGTAGTTCTCGTGTAAAGGCGCATTAAAACGGAGCTCTTAAATTCCTGTTGTCGTAGTGAAATGGAGCAAAGAATTAACATAAAATTTTGCTTCAAATTGTTCAAGACAGAAACCTAAAAATTGTTAAAACAAGTTTACGGCAAGGAAGCATTATCTTGCTCAAGAACTTTTGGATGGTTTAAATGCTTTCGAACGCTAAAGCGTGGAGGATGATTCGCACACAGTTCCTACGCAAGCCGGAAGAAATTGAAAAAGTTTGCGTCCACACATTGCGTTTGCTGTGAAACGATTCTCAGCTCAGCATGGTGTCGTTGAGTCGCAGCATCCACCATACCCGCTAGACCTAGCACACACTTTTTCCTGTTTCTTAAGCAGAAAAATTCACTGAAGGTAACAAGATTTCAGGATGTCGAAGCCTTCCCGAAAACTGTAACGTCACTAATAAAGAGCATTCCAAAAGAGGACTTTAAAACTTCTTTCCGAAATTTGTACAGCCGAGCACAGACGTGCATTACGGCTGATGGGGATTACTTCGAGTAATATTAAATAGCTATGTGTTTAACTTTTTTTTCTTCTGAGTTATTCCATGAGTCCTGGAAATTAATAGCCAGACCTTGTATAATTTAGATAAAGGATCAATTTTCAGTTTTCCCTAAATTCAATAATTATAGTATTGACATAATTTGATAGTGACATAAATGATATAATTTGACTTCACAAGAGCTTGAAATGTCAAATTTTTCAGTTTTACAGAAAACATTCTCAACACTTTAGAAGTTTACGTAATTTACAAGTGGAATAAAAATCATACGACGAAAGGGGATAACAAAAAGAGATTCTATGAAATACCTGTTTCTCAATAAAGATTAAGAACAACACAAAACAAAATAATTCAAATAATATCATGTAACCTCTTAATGCTCTTAACATTTCACTGACAAGTAAGCTACTGAATATTTATACAATATTTGTGAGACATTTACCTGATGGTTTTGACAGATCTAGTTTGACTTGCATAGTCCCAGTTCCGTGTTTATCTTGATGCAATCGAATGCATTCTGCCACAACAGGTTCAATCATTCCTTTTTTAAGATTAGTCTTATCAATCAGATCATGCTTCACTGGATCGTGTTCTTTCTACAAAATATTTTGCAATTAAAATCTAACATAAATAGAGGGTCATTTGAAGAAATATTTATGGAGAGTAATTTCACTTCTCTAAAAAATTTTTGAATAGTCAATTCCAAACCATAGGTAACATTTTATAAATAACTGCCACTTTGTAACAGACTACTACTACTACTTAAACAAAGAAAACATACAAAGATTATTGTTTGAATATTTCACCGAAATTCCATATTAACAAGTTAATTAAGGTTTCTAAAGAAAATTATACAAAATAAAAAAAGGAACTTTTTGTTAATTGTTTCTAAACGTCTATTGTTCAAATGATTAAAGAATTATTCAAACAATTATTTAACATGGTTAAAAATCTCAAATGATATAGCCTTTCCTCTAACAGCATATTGAAAACTGATATTTATAAGTTAAAAGTCATTATTTCTAAATCTTCAATTTTTTACCTTGAAAATGATTCTTTGCTTAAAAATATTAGGTTTAAAATGTTGATCATCTGGCTAACCTTACTGTAGAATTATCCAGCGACAAATTTGTACCTGTACAGTGCAGAACAAAAAAATAAAGGTTTTGTTTTCCTTCTTCCTAATAAAGAAATAAAATTCTTATATTTTATGTTTATATATCATTTAACTTGTTTCCCATACATTCTCTAGTTTTTGCAGGCTCTTTTAAAGTAAAAGGAGAATCAGTTATTACCTATGGAATGTAAGCAACATTTACGAACTTTTAACATTGTCATTACTACAGAATTGGAATTTTGAATCAATAATCGAATATTTACCAACAAAACAGTAAAATAAAATATTAATTTATAATTGTTTTGTAAAATAATCTCTATTTTAAATATAATTGTTATTTATAAGAGTTATATTAAAATGAAAAGGTTCAAATGAAATAGAGAAAATTAGCATCAATGCAACAATTGTAACAATTTGTCGACAAACATTGCTGTTAGCAATTATAAGAAAATTAGTGATTGGCCGGCCTTGCTGAGAAAAATAATTTACCGATTTCATTGGAGTACAAAAGCTTTCAGAAAAGGAGTGCAATAAAAATCTATTATTAAATTATAATCAACAGGATTCCCACTCAATTTCAGAAAAAATATTCCATGACTTTTCCACCATATTTTATCTATAACATGCAATTAACTTTTAAATTTTTTTATTTGTTAAGTCAAATATTAGATTTTGTGAGCAAAAACATATAATAGAATGTGAATAGAAACATAGAAAACAGGGTGGCCACTGAAATCAGGTTACAAATTTCCTTGATTTTTCCAGGTTCTCCAGTAAAAATCTTAAAATTTCCAGGTCAGTGTGTGTGTGTGTGTTTTCTTCTTTTTTCTTTCTTTTAAAGTGTAGGTGGGTACAAGAAAAGTTTCAATATTATAAGGTATTTTATTTAAAATGTTATTTTTTTAATATATCAACTTGATTAGATATGGAGGAAACAATATGTTTAGTTCGCAGAAAATAATTTAATGAATTTTTTTTTTAAAGTGTTAAGTAGTTTTTGAACAAAATGTACCAAATAGCAAATACAGAAAAAAAGCCCCGGAAAAGTACTGTTTAATATATTTTCATTTAGCAAAAGAAAAAAATTCCAGGCGATTATACGTCGATAAATTTGTATATTTATTTACATTTATAATTATATTTATTACATTCAGAGCCATTCTATCCAAAGAGTGCTCTTGATAAAATTCATTGATATAATTTTCTTTACATTAATATCTAAAATCAAGTATTTGAATAGCGTTGTTTGTTTTGAATTAGCACTATTTTTTATGAGATATTCAGAAACTGTCAAATTTCTTGTTGCATATTCTATTAAAAAATAAAAAAAACTAGGTAAAATTTTTTAAATTTTATTCTTTTTTGCTTTGTTTTTTTTTCATATTTGAAATTAGAATATTTAAAGAATTCCAATCTAACCACATGGTTTCTCAACTTAGATGAGTTATTTTCTTTGTTTTGTTTTTACAACTGGGCAATTTCATGATGTTGGACCTAAAAAACGAACATAAATTTCTTAAAAAAACTATTTTATAAAACATAGGTTTATAATCATCAAATTTTTATATGAAATATTTAGTACATCATAACCTATCAAAAAACAATTTGTTTGATAAAAACTGATTATAAGTTCGAGTTAAATGGATTAAAATGTTGGTGTCGGATGTAAATCGCAAGAAAGCCAAAAATTATTACTCATTTACAAATTGTCTAAACTGTGTGAATTTGTTTGTAATTTAAATGTAAACTTGACAGAATTTTGAAGTTGACATTTGAATAAAAAATTTGAATCTTTTTTCTTTAGTGTCAGACGTAAATTTTTTGAATTGGATATAAATTTAAGTTAGTGATAGATAACCATTATTCCCGATTGTAGCATTAAAGATGTGCCAAATGTATGAATATAAAANAATAGATTGCGTTCAGAACAAGGTTACGACGGCGATCACGAAGTTAATCCCATTGAAGATAATCTACAAGAAACGATTTCAAATCGCGAAGTTGCGAAAACGAACATGTGATATAACGATATAAGGTCTCAAAAGTGATTCTGATTCTACCGCTCATCAGTCAAGGCCGTCTCAACATAACGAAACAATATCGTCTTCCACAGCGCGAGTTGGCATCGGAACGTAAGAGAAAGTCCTTGCGTGTATCGCTATATCGTTATATCGTCTTCTTCACTCGACGGCTTAAATCAGATTTCTGATGCATCGCTTGGAATGAAAGTCGGTGTATCGGTTTGCCGATATAGGCGTTAAATCGATATGTCGCGATATATCGATTTATAGCCCAGTCCTAATCATAACCTATCAAAAAACAATTTGTTTGACAAAAACTGATTATAAGTTCGAGTTAAATGGATTAAAATGTTGGTGTTGGATGTAAATCGCAAGAAAGCCAAAAATTATTACTCATTTACAAATTGTCTAAACTGTGTGAATTTGTTTGTAATTTAAATGTAAACTTGACAGAATTTTGAAGTTGACATTTGAATAAAAAATTTGAATCTTTTTTCTTTAGTGTCAGACGTAAATTTTTTGAATTGGATATAAATTTAAGTTAGTGATAGATAACCATTATTCCCGATTGTAGCATTAAAGATGTGCCAAATGTATGAATATAAAATTTTATATGAATTCTAGAATAAATGTTAAGTTCAAAACACTATTTTTCAAAAAAAAAAAAATAATAATTGTTTTCCATCTTTCTAATAAATACATATAAATTTTCTTATACTCTAAGACAATACATCATTTAACATGTTTCCCATACCCCCCTCCCTTATTCTTGCTGAGCTTTTTAGTGTAAAAGGAGAAACAGTTTCAGAAATATCATCTCTGGAAGGTAAGAAGCATTTACAAATTTATGACACAGTGATTAATACACAATACGAATTTTGAATCAAAAATCAAATATTTACCAACAAAACAGTGAAATTAAATGTTAACATCTAGTTAGTTTGTAAAAGAGCCGTACTTAAAATAAAATATATTTCAGAAGGTTAAAATAAAATATATTTCAGAAGGTTAAAATGAAATCCAGTAAATTAGCATCAATGCAACGATTTTGCTGTTAATTATGTTAGGTTCAATTATTATGTCACGTATTCATTATGTTATTCAAAAAAATGAATTATTATTTGGCTTTGAGAAAAATAATTCATTGGATGAGAACACAAAAGCTTTTAGAAAAAGAGAGCAAGATAAAATCTATTATTAAACTATAACCAATTATTTTTTGGATAATTTCAAAAAGTTAAAAATGATACAAGATTTTTAATAATTTTCTTAACGAAAAAATACCCTCAAAGCATTGGAAGAAACTTGAACAATAAATAAATTCAACGCACGGTCTAGAAGATTAAAAAAAATAAATACTTTTATAAACATAAGCAAATATCCTAACCCCTTCTTCCACCTCTATCACTTTCCTTAATTACATAGTCTTATAATCTAAAGAGTCCAGAGGTTTCTCCATTCATTTAACAACTATAGGAGAATTTCAAGTGGCATTCTAATTTAGCAAGAAAATAATGGTGAGAATTTTAATGCAAGCAAAATATTGCTAAGTTGATGATATTTCAACTGTTTGAGGATAAATTTCAGTCTAAATAAAAGTGGATATAATGTATGGTAAAATAATTTAAATTAAGAGAAAATTTTCAGTTTTTCTTTTAAATTCCCTGATTTTTCCAGCTTTTTATCCAAATTTCCATGACTTTTCCAGGTTTTTTCAAGTATAAAAAAATTCCCTGATAATTCCAGGTGAGTGGCCACCCTGAAAAATTGCATTAAAAAGTGGAATTTTGCAATAGATGCCTATTGAGACTATTGAGCTCTAATCTCAATAACTGATTACTGTTATTGACAATTTTATGACTGGTTATTTTGCTAGTATAATGTAGGAGTTATACAGATTTTTTGCAAAAAATTGCAATTTTCCCTGTTTTTTAGAGTTGAAAAAAAATTCCTTGACAATTCCAGGTTTTCCCTGACCCATGGGAGCCTTCAATGAACTAATGTTTAGAATTTTATAACGTTATTAAAACATTTTAAAGTTTTGTCCCAAAAAAAAAAAATACTAACAAAGCACGGAACAAACTTTAATGATAAATGGATTCAGCCCATGGACTAAAAGATTTTTTAAAAAATCTACTTTTATAAAGAGAAACAAATATCCTAACCAATTCTTCCACCCCCACCACAATCTTTGCCTTTCCTAAACTGCACAGTCCCTTAGTTTTCAAAGATTTCTCCATTTATTTAACAATCATGGGAGAATTTCATGCGACATTCTAGCTTTATGGGTTATAATGGAGCAAATTTTAAAGCAAGCAAAGTTGATATTATTTAAATTCTTTGGTGATGAATTTCCATTTAAAACAAGGGGGTATAACAAATAGTAAAATAATTTAAATTCAGAAAAAAAGATCTAGCTTTTCTTTAAAAATCTTTGACTTTAATCCAAATTTCCCTGATTTTCCCAGTATAAAAAAATTTCCTGATTATTCCAGGTGGGAGGACACCCTGTTAAAATCCTCCACCCTATATCTAAATGTATACTATTTCTATCCAAACTGTAACTGATTTTAATTAAGTAAATAGGCTGCAATGGAGCATTATTTTAACTTAAATATAAGTGGAATAAAATAATACCTTCTATGAATCTTAACACCATCAATTTTAGCAGAGGAGAAATGTTGATTCGCTGTGAAAAGCTGAACAATAATTTCTTTAGCTAATTTATTAATAAATAAACAGTTTGAAGTTTTAAAAATGTTTTTTCCATTTTGCACACTCTCCCAAAGCCATAACTTTAATTCACAAAATTTTTACTAATAGTATACAAAGGATGTTCATACGATATAAGTGAAATCAAAACTAAAAAAGCGGATGGAGGTGACATGTTTCCATTCAGCACACGTGGCGTCATTACCAATCGGGGATTTTTGATTGCATCACTTACGGAAGCCTTTTTGGGCAATTTAAATGTTTAATACTTAAATAAATAAACGTTCGAGAAAAAAAAAACAATTAGATATATAGGAGAGAATTTCCAATAAAAGATGGATATGAAAATAAAGAGATGTTGTCCTTTACTTACAAGATATGCCATTCTGTGCTTCAAACCAATGACATGTTCAATTAAAAACTGTCCATTCGGGACATTGGCAGAACAAAGAAAGCAATTGTAGATAGGTTTTCCTTCAAGACGCCGAATTTCACAACAATGCTGTAACCCTGAAATTAAACACAAAACTTAAATAAAGATCTAGAATAAATGAAACAGAAAAATTCAAAATACCTCTTTTATTATAAAAGTTAACATAATTATAAATAACCATAACAATGTCCTTTCGTTCCTTTTTTTTTGCATTATATCATTTTTTAAAAAAAAGATTTCTTTTAAAAACCGTCATTGAACAGCCGACCCAATTTAGGGTTTACGGCTACTAATGTTGAACTCCATAGCCCTGTATTTTTGAACCCAACCCAGAAGACAAGGGAACTCATAAATCAAGTACAGTAGAGCGCCGATAATCCCAACTGCTCGAGACCAAACGTGGTTCGGATAATGAGAAGTTCGGATAATAGGAAAGTTGCTTAAAATCTAGTTTAGATGATTATTATTTATGCGCCAACTTCCCTTCACACTTTTTCCAGTCTTAAGACTGGCAGTAATATCTTAAATAGCTCTGGCGTGTTTAAAAGTTTTTTTTTAATTTTTAAATTTTTGTAAAACTTTTTTTTCATTTTAAATTTTTTTGGGTCATATTTCAGCTTTTTATAAATTTTTTGTCAATTACTGATTTTACTACATTTATCTTTATTTTTCATTGCCAAAGAAATCCAGCAAAGATTTTTGTTTCAAAGAAGATACTCTTTTTTGAGCAGCCATATCCCTTATTTTTTTTAAATAAATCAACTGAACTGAATCAACATCATTTTGACGTTCCAGCCAATTCATTGCAATATCTAATGCATTGCATGCTTCCATATGAGAAGGTCCACTATCTTGAACTTGGTCGCCTACTTCTTCCTCTTCGTCGGTGGAGTTCCGATTTTCATTCAAAATTTCAATAACAATTTCACCATCATTTAAAATCCTGGGTCATTTTCAGTGTCTCGACACCAACCTTCGATTTTTTTCTGCTGTATAACCTGGCATCTTTTCATCCGGAAATTCTACTGGCTCAGAAACTTCAGTTTTGTTTGTTTTTCTGTTAAGAATCTTATTCCAAGATTTTCTAAGTGTCGATGTTTTTACTAAATTCCAGGCATCAGCTATCATCATGCAGCAATCTTTTAAATCAATAGCTCTGATTGAGTTTCGAAAATCCCCCTCATTTTCTTCATCCGAGAGAAAAATCTTCCTTAAAAGTTGCTTTCTATAAAGACGTTTTATGGTTTCAATGACACTTTGATGCATCGGCTGAATCAAAGGTGTCACATTAGGTGGCAGGAAAACAACACGAAACATTTCATTCTCCCTATCTAAGAGATCATGATTTGGATGCGACGGAGCATTGTCCAAGATGAGTTAATACTTTTCTTGCTTTTCCCAAATTTTCTTGATATTTCTTCCCATTTGGAATTAAAGTCTTATTGTACCACTCAATAAAAATGCTAGTGTACAGGCTGGTCTCAGTGTACACATGAGAGTACAATAATCTCAAGCTTTGTAGAAACACACGCGGACTCACAAGTATTTCATCAAACATGTAAAATGATTGGAGCTTTCATACGCTAATGACGAACGGTACACCAAAATAGATAGTGATTGAATGAATTGTGAAAGCGTTGAATAGAACAATGCGAAAAGCACGCTTTTACATAATACACGGCAAAAATCAATATTCCCTTTTCAAAAATCTCATTTTAGAAAAAGCACGATTTTTGGCCAATTCCACACGGTTTTCCGAATTTCGATATTTAAATAAATTATTAAAACATTCGACTTTAGTATTTAAGATATTTCTGTTTGACAAACTTGATTTGCGACAATTCTATAGTAAATCTACATAGTTTTTATATCTTATTTTACTATCAATTCCAGATGTTTTTAAAAATTTTGATATTTTTAAGTGATACGGTGTTATTAAGAAGAGAATTGCAGTTTCGCGTAAGGACTATTCGTCAACAATTTATACCAAAATAGCTCTTAACGTACTTAATTCCACAATGTTTTTCCATTTTTTCCGGCAGCGTTAACTTGTTTCTTTTTCTAATTCAGATATTATTTTGGTTTATTAGATATTATAAAACAGTATTATTTTGGGAGAATTTTAAAATTTAAGCATTTGACGCTCTAGATTCCACAAAGTTTTGGGATCTCCTTTTAGCCATTTCAACAGTTTGGTGCAATTTTTGCAAAAAGCTGGCATTTTAGATTTTGCTTTGGAGTAGCTATTCCAAACCCTATATAATGCAGTCTAATGTTTTAAGGTTTGAATTATAAATGTCTAATATTAAAATTTTTATGCTTCAATTTGTTATAACCATGAAAAGCATGTATTTACCTATAATTGGTTCTGATGACTTTTTAATTTCTGGTAATATAAGAGGATCTTCCTTAAGTATTTCATACTTCATTTCTAAAAAAAAAAAAAATCAACACATTAAAAATATACATTTTCATTATACAGCAGAATTACATAAAATTTTGTAGGGCATATGTCATCGACAATGTCAACCGTCATCCACGAAAAGGTACCCCAACATAGAATTGAGTTAATTGTTTTACATACTAATGAATTGGCATTGTATTTTTTTGTAGTGGTACATGCTACAGTACTCCCCCACCAGAATTATATCTGAGATAGATTTCGATGAACGGATACCACTAGTTGATTCGTGAGAAGCCGGGAGAGCTGTATTAAGATCACGGTCGTGGTCGCTCCTGTGTTGTCTTTAGTAGTCTAGTGTATATGTTGTACGTTGTATGTGATGGAGACTGAGAAGAAACAGCGTGAGGAGGTCAATGTCGCCGTCACAAATAGCAAATCAACTGTTCAGTGTGTGGATCATCCATCGAAGTAGGCTTGTTCAAATCATAGTGGGTGCTTCTGCCAAGGTAGGCATGTTCACATCACATCAGGGTCACCAATGTGGGGAAGTTATCGACAATGTCAACCTTCATCCATGAAAAAGTACCCCAACAAAGAATAGAATTAATTTGTCTTTTATATCAGTGAATTGGAATTGTATTTTTGTAGTGGTATACACAATACACTTTCTTTAGCTGAATTAAAAGAAGGGGTCAGTAAAAGTTTACCTTATTGTGAATCCCTTTATACACAAATTCTTAACCACCATCGCTCTTATACATAAACTGGCAAAATTACTCTTACCATCAACCAAGAGTAAATTTACTCATTTTGTAAATAAAAGTTTGGGCAGCAAATAACAGTTAAACTGGGCAATGGTTAATGTTGGCATCATATTGCACCGATTAATTTGTAAAGTGACTGTTGAGCAAGTAATTAGGTTGCTTTGATGCGCGAAGCACAGGAGAAATAACTGGAAAGTTTATCGTTGCATGTGATTACCATGGAATCTTTAAAGCCCCTGGTCAAATTATTAGACGCACTATAAGATTCTATGTAAAATATTAATTATCAGGTGATACTATACAGATTTATTGTTTTTACACAGTTTGCACTTATTTATGTTCCTCTATCAATTGGTTAGCATTGTAATGAAATGGGTTAAAAATAAACACAAATAGGAAGAGTATAAAAAAATCTGAATAAAAACACATTACATGTATGTTTAAATATAAAAGTATTGCCTAGAAAATCGCGCTAAACATGTCATTATTAAAACACTGCAGTGTGTCGAATCATTTGATCTCATTATTATTATATACTAGCCGCCTAAGGCGGCCAGATGTCCGCCACGCTAAAGGTTTTCACAAATAAAGTTTTTTAAAACATGGCAGGAAATCTGANCTGATATAATAAATAATCTATATTTATATAATATATCGTCCAATTTATCCACTCGTCGAATTTATATGACATATCGTCTTACTTAGCAGATTGATACACGAGTGTAAACAAGTGCGAACCGGTTTCAGTCTCATAAAAACAGTAAAGCTGTATAGTATCAACTGATAATTAAGATTTTACGTAGAATCTTACAGTCTGTCTCATAATTTTTCAGGGACTGTATAATTCCCCTTGAACTTGCAAACATGAGTCAAGGTTACGAATTTCTTTAGAAAAAAGAAACTAGTCAATGATGTTAACCATTCATGACTTGATATTCCCTATCTGTTAAATCAAAAAAAAAAAAAATTTTACTTAAGTTCAGTGGATAAACCCATCATTTCCATGATCAAAAGTTTTCAAGATTCTATCGTCAAGAAAACAAGGTAAAATCTTTAATGTAGGAAACTTTTTTAAACAGAGTGAGTCCGATCGAGTAGTATGTATCAAGTCGAGTAGTAAGATCAAGTATTGGGAGTAATTTGCCTTCATGGTGGACTTTTTGATGGAACTAACCCGCATTTGCGTTACATGTAGAGGAAAGCCACGAAAACCTCCCACGGTTGACACAATCCGTGATTCGTCTACCATTTAGGATAGTTTACGTCATCACAGCCAGATGCGGAATTCGTTTTGACCAGCCATCCTTGGGATCCAAACTCGGTTCACCACGTTGAAAGACGTACGCTCTATCCCCTGAGCCATAAGGGCTCTACTTAAACTATTTTATTTTATATCCATTGTTCATCAGCCGACCCAATTTTGGGTTTGCGACTACTGATGTTCAACTCCGTAGCCTTGTCATTTTGAACCCAATCCAGAAGACAACTAAACTCCTGGATCGGTACCTCCAGAGGTATTGATTTGTTACAGGAACATTGAGGATTTTGCGACTCGACAGATTTAATGTGCATTGGCCACCATTTACTACAAGGAGAGTCTTCGGCCGGCAGGGAACGAACCCACGAGCTCTGGGACATGGGTCCAGTGCCCTACCCAACAGGCTATCCCGGCCTTACTTAAACTATTAACACACTTAACATACTGCAGTACTGGCAATAGCACCATCTGTTGAAGAATAAGAGAAGCATTTTTGCCATCAGCAGATATTTTATCGCCAAAATGATTTTTTTTTCTCCAAAATTTCTTTTAACAAATACGGAAAAATTGGAGAATATTCGGGTAAACAGGAGATAGTCGTAAAATACAGGAGTCTTTGTTAAAAAAACAGGAGACTTGGCAGGTATGTAAAAAGCAGAAAAAGTTTGCAGTCCTTATCTGAACTCCTTACTTCAGGAAAAAAGTCATTAAAAAAAAAAAAGACAAAAAATCTTTTTTTTTTTTTTTTTTTTTTTTTTTTTTTTTTTTTTTTTTTTTTTTTTTTTTTTTTTTTTTTNCGTTTTTTTTTTGCATAAACATCTGTAGAAAGGCAGTGTCTATGCAACACAGTAAGCTTGGCGGCAAAATACGAGAGTAAGCATATAACAATTCCTCACCTCCATGATCACCTTTCTTGGTATGCTGAAAAAAAAAAGAAAAGGAACAATTAATATACTTTTAAAACACTTTAAAGAATGAATGATTTGAAAGTACTCAATCTCAATAATTTTAAATACATAACAGAAAAGGGATTTATTTAAAATCATATTCAAAACAAAACATGCAACAAAAATATTTTTTAAAAACATGGCACGAGAGTGAAAATACTCCCTCCCAGAAAGCGCGTCATCTCACAGCAACCTCGTGTCGGAATTTTCCTTTTATTGTCACAATAATGTTAGTACTAAAAACCTTTTTTCAATATAGCAAAAATAGTGCAGTCTCAAACCTTTCCTCCTAAAAGGATTAAAAATTATCTTAAAACCGTTTTTAAAAAGTATTGCCATTAAAGTAAAATGGTCACTTAAGTCCATAATGACGTTTTAGCTGATGTCAAACTGGCCATAGGATCGAATCACATTGTCGATTAGAATTTTGTGATGAGGTGAATTTTAGTTGAGCATACGAGACGTTGCGACAAGAAACCTTATAATAACCTATATTTAAGAATATATAGGTTATCTTGAGAAAATCTTGTTGAAAATTGTTATCTTGATGAAAATCTTGAGACTAGCTTTATTCAAGGATTTTTTTCACACTTGAAAACTCTACGTCGACCTCGATTTACGGTTTTTATATAGAAAGTAGTTCTCCAAAGTTTTGGATTACGGTAATGTGTGTAGAATAGAGCAGATTGTCACAGATTTCATTTTAAGATTAGAAAGTTTACACACAAACTGCATAAAAAACTTTTTTAGGTTTACATTAAAAGGTTTTTGCTTAGTGAAAATAAACCTTATTTTGCTATCTTGGACTGTCTTCACTTATATTTATAATTAATTTAAATGACATTTATTAGAGTATAAAAAAGATACAAACGTTTATTTACAACTATTTTTTCTTATTATTGTGATGCACAAGTGGCAATGGTCGATGAATGGTCTTCATCAAACAAAAATTAGAAGAATTAAAGCCCAAACAGTGAGACAAAGGGCTTCATGCAAGAATTAAAGTGGTTCTAAGAGGGTTTTTTTAAAAGTCAGTAATGATTTTTGAAATGGTTAATTATATTAAGATCTGATCAATAATCCATTATTTGTTTATCTAATATTTCAATTGCACACACAAGTTTTTTAAAATATACCAATAAAAAAAATAAAAATAAAAAAACAATTATTAAAAATATTAAATTGGTATTTCCAATTCAAATCAAAATAACTAAATTCATTAATAAAGGCAAATGTTTCTCTAATAACCTTTTTGAACATTTATAGAAGTTTTAATCTCAAAGAAAACCTTAATTCAGCTTATTTCAGCATAGTTGGGGGGAAAAAATAAAAATGGGAACTACTGAATGAAGCATACATGAAGATTCAGCATTGATAATTCTGAAAAATGTGGATGATAAGTAACACAAAAATGTAAATCATTAACAAGAAAAGTGTATTCAATGCACTTCTGACATAGAAGTTAAATAACAGAATTGTGAGACACAGTAATGAAAAAGGCATTCTGTAAGCATGTAAACACAAATTGATAGGATTGTATATAAACTGGACACCAGAAACAAGAGTTTTTCTACTAACAAGTGTTAAATTCGGGGTTGGCAAGGTTTAGGACAGAATGGATAAATCCACGGTTTAAACCATCCTGTCCAAAACCCTTTCACTTAAATTATGTCACAATTTTATCTGAACAATATTTAAAAAGTAAAATAAACATAGAACTAATAACATATTAATAATTAAATCTACAAGAGAATATTTGTTTTTAAAAGTATAATGTTTTATTAATATTGTTTGACTCTAAACTGTCTAAAAGCTTCAACTAGCTTCAGATTAGAAAAGAAGGCTTATGCGCATTGCTGACCACATTGCCACAATGAGGCCCTAGGTCACAAAATTGTGAAGCATTAACCATAATGATACCTTGGCCTAAAACAGGCTGTTTCTGGAATGATTTTACGTAGCTATATACAGGGTATCTGCACATTTTATTCTTTCAAATCCATGACTTTTCATGAATAATTCAAATAATTTTTCATGACTTACGGAAGTTACTATTTTCTCCACAAAAACACAACAATAAATTTTAAAAAGCTTTATAATAACATTAGTTGAAAAGATAGGTATAACCAAAACTGTCATACCCTTCATCTTCATATTTATTGATTTTAAACTTAAAAACAGAGTAAAGAAAGAGTTAAAGCAATAAAAAAGCTGAAAAAAATACAAAAGCAAATAACTAAATACTGTCAGATATATGTAGTTATTTAAAGCTGTTTTATTTCTTTTTTAAAGTAAGTGTAATATAAAAAGCCTAAACTAGAATTTTAAATTGATAAAATAAAAACATAAATAAATAAATAAAAAAACTCTGAAATCACAGAAATTTAAAAGATATTTTGCTCTAAAATCGATGTTCTTTCCTTTTTTGAAAGAACACCATAATTTTTAAAGAACAGGATAAAAAAATTTTTTATTTTAATAGAATATGATTATGAGTGGGGATTTTGTCACTAATTTAAATATTTGGAACATCAAAACACTGTGAAATTGGGAGGGAGGGTAAATTCCATATAAAAAATTAGATTTTTCGACGACCAAAATTCATGACTTTCCAGTTGCGCAGATACCCTGTATAAATAAAGTTAAGAGTATTTTATCCTTTCCTTTTTCAAACTTACTGCTAATTGAGCATAATCTTGGTTGAACTGTTTAGGAGAGTAAAAAGTGTATAACGAGACATTTTAAAAATCCAAATTGACTTCAATCAATTGATGGATTCAGTTTTAAATATTTTGAAGAGTGTTTTTCATAGTAAAATATTCACGTCAAGAGTATTATACACTGTAAGAGTATTGAGAGTACATAAGCAAGAAAAAAATTGCAAATCCAAAGGAAGAACCTCGTGCCTATTAATGCGCAAAAAGAATATCTTTGTGCACTAAATCAATTAATGCTTTTGTTTTTTATCCATTTACAAAGTAATAACTCTGAACCGAGACATTAAAAACAGGGTCTAGGTTTTTTTTTTTAAAGAAATTTTGTGAAAACATATTATTGTGAAAATTTAGACAAAATTTGTGAAAATTAAAAATTATGTTAACAAATCAACACAAAAATATTGCAAAGTAAGAAAATATTTTCAAAAACTGTCACTACAAATAAAAATCATTTATGACTGGTAAATTTCTTTATATATATTTTCCCATATGTTCAAAAACGCTATTGTAAAATTTTGGGCTTAAAATTGTATCCAAATTTAAAAATTCATAAAAATCACTGTTCATTATTAAATCTCAATTAGAATTTAATAGAAACATACATTTAACAGTAATAACACTGAAAGTTATTTTCATTAAGAGAACATTTTTGAATGGGTCGTACAGAAAAAAGCTTCACACGGAAAAAAAAAAAATAGACATCTATTAGAATAAATTTAGAATAATGATTCAAATTAATTTTCGGTATCACGGCATGGTTTCAGCTAGGCATGGGGAGGAAAAGAGCTCTTCTTACAAACCGAGTGAGAAACGAATTCCTTTATGTCGTAATAGCAAACCACGGGTGGGTTCCATTGCAAAACAAAAAGCATAATTAACTGCAACGTTTATTGTTTTTTTTTAATAGATACAGCAACAAAATTTTAAAAGACTCGGGGGGGGGGGGGGAGGAATTTTAGAATTTGCTGCTTTAAAAGTATTTTGAGAAACTACCGCTTTTGATAGCCTGGTAGTCAAAATAAATTTTCCTGCATGAAATTTAAGTATAGAAGTTTATTTAAAAAAATGAATTCCTTTTTTTATTTGTATAAATTTCAAGACATTTCTAGCCACAAACCTGGGAACAGAAAGAAATAATAGATTTTTTTAGAGAAGCTTACCTTAAAGTTTGCCAACATTGGAGAAATAAAATAACCGAGATATTACTAAACGACCCAATTTTAGGTTTACGACTACTAATGTTCGACTCCGTAGCCTTGTCATTTTGAACCCACCCCAGAACACAAGGGAACTCCGGGATAAAGCATTGGGTGACGCCCGGTGGCTGAGCGGTAGCGCTTCGCGNTCACACAAAAAAAAAAAAAATAGACATCTATTAGAATAAATTTAGAATAATGATTCAAATTAATTTTCGGTATCACGGCATGGTTTCAGCCAGGCATGGGGAGGAAAAGAGCTCTTCTTACAAACCGAGTGGGAAACGAATTCTTTTATGTCGTAATAGAAAACCACGTGTGGGTTCTATTACAAATCAAAAAGCATAATTAACTGCAAAGTTTATTGTTTTTTTTTAAATAGATACAGCAACAAAATTTTAAAAGACGGGGGGGGGGGAGGAATTTTTTAGAATTTGCTGTTTTAAAAGTATTTTGTGAAGCTACCGTTTTTGATAGTCCGGTAATCGAAATAAATTTTCCTCCATGAAATTTAAGTATAGAAGTTTATATACAAAAATGAATTCCTTTTTTTATTTGTATAAATTTCAAGACATTTCTAGCCACAAGCCTGGGAATAGAAAGAAATAATAAATTTTTTTAGAGAAACTTACCTTAAAGTTTGCCAACATTGGAGAAATAAAATAACCGAGATATTACTAACCGACCCAATTTTGGGGTTTACGACTACTGATGTTCGACTCCGTAGCCTTGTCATTTTGAACTCAATCCAGAAGACAAGGGAACTCCGGGATAAAGCATTGGGTGAAATTTGCCTACATGGAGGACTATTTATTTAACAGACCCACATTTGAGTCACATGGAGAGGAAAACCACAAAAACCTTTCACAGTCAGCCTGACGACAAGGAGACTAATGCATGATCCGTCTACCAGTGAGAATATTTTATGTCAGCACTTTGGTCGGTGCAAGCCGGATGCTGAACTCGTATCGCCCAGTCGTTGCTGGGATTCGAACCTGGGTACACCTCAATGGAAGGTAAACGCTCTATCTATACTTAAACTATTTTATTTTATATCCGTC